ATGATAATGTCAAACACAGCTTTCACTAACATTGCTGAGCATGTAGACTCTGATTAATAGTTCTTCCATTTAAAAGCTAACGTTGTTACTGGATTTGTTTATATGATTTTTTAATGACTTGGAAAATTATCTTAACTTTCTCCTCTTTCTTCTCCTATCTCTCTTCCTCTTCATATTTTCTCCTCCCTATTCCTGTGAGCCTGCGGGTTGGATTCTGACCATTTTATTGGTAGTGCTGTTGGATTCAATTTCTCTGATTTGGGCACAATCCGGCAGCTCCCACGAGAAGTTTCTGCCATTAAAAAATTTGTGGCCGCCTGTTGCGGCGGTGGTGTTGGTGGTGAAAGTGGTTCCTTCCCACTTCATTGATGAAGGAGGATTTTATGGGAATTGGTGACGGTGGGAGCAAATAGGAATTTTGGTGGGAGCAGAGACAAGTGGGATTTGGGTTGCGATTTCAGTGAAATAGTTGAGGTGGTGAAAGGACTGAAACTTGACTATTAGAAGCTCCGTCGGTGGTGGACGTTTGGAATCAGGAAAACTCTGAAGTAAATGCAAGGGGATTTGGGTTTCCTCTTCTTATCTTGTTTACTCATTGTTGATGACTGGTTTTGAAATTTTAATTGGTTTTTTTTTTTTTCCATTTCCATTTCCATTTCTATTTTCTTGACTCTTTTAAAGTGGAAAGGGGTGACTAGCTCATGCGGGACGAAGAAGAAAAGGATCAAGGGCAGGGGGAAAAAAGAGAGATGTCCCATAAATTAAACATAGAATAATTTCCAACTCATTAATAAAAACATGTCAACAGTTAACTGCCAAAGAATCTTTGTGTTAGTCAACTTACGGTCTAGGCACCTTTTAGAATGTTAAATGTCTAGCAGTTTTTGAAATTTAGGGACCAAATAGAAACCTATCCTCAAACTAAGGGACTAAAGTGTCTTTTACCAAATTAATGTGTCTTAGACATGCATGATATTTAGCCACTATGCCTACTTCTGTCAAATGTATGGCAATGACAGTGCTCATGTCTTGCACTTTGCCACCTCATATCTGTTAAGAGTATTGCTACTTGATACATTGTTGTATCCCCTTTATAAGTGCTATGTTATTTATTACAGTTCCATTTTTCAGGTTGTTTGAGGAATGCTTCCAACGAAGGTGGTACCGTACTGCAGCCTGCTACATACTTGTAAGAGAAGTATTCCTTTTCTTGAAACACGGTGAATAGCATAAAGTGAAAATAATAGAATTTGTAATTGTTAAAATTTGATTTGCTCACACACACACAAAAAAAAAAAAAAAAAAAGGATGCTTTGAATTTTACTACTGATGTTTGGATCTTCCCGAGCCCAAGGGTCCAGAAGAATTTAACTTTCTAAGAGGTTTAATTTTCATTTGGAATTGATTAGATCCAAGTCGAAAACAAACTAATGGCTCTATTAGTAGTGTATGAAGGCTAATCAGAAGTTTCCATACTCTGGAATCTTGTAGGTTATTGCTAAAAAGAATTAGATAGAAAGTTTTATTTTGAGCTGCATAACATAAGTCTATGCACAACCTAGAGAATTGCTTTACTGCTCTCAGATGAAAAATATATGAAGATTTTGAGCAGCTTCTTGCCATGAAATAGGGCTAGCTATGGCACAAAGTTGAAGTTAACAGAATGTTCTTTATTTGAATATCACAGGTGATTGCAAAACTTGAAGGTCCTGCTGTTAGTCAGTACTGTGCTTTACGCCTTTTGCAGGCAACACTAGACGAGTCCTTGTATGAACTTGCTGGAGAGCTGGTAATATTGGATATGTTTTAGCTTCTCTTAATTGGGTATGTTAGTTTAAACTCATTGAGGTTAATAATGTTTCTTCTATTGTTGAAGGTGAGGTTTCTGCTGAGATCTGGAAGAGACTACGATCATGCATCGATTGAGACAGACAAACTATCACCTCGATTCTTGGGCTATTTTCTTTTTCGTTCTAGCAGGAATCAAACCTTAGATAAAAGGTGATTAACATATTGAGATGTTTTGCATGTTTCATAATCCTCGCAAATTCTACATTTGGAATGATGTTAACTTATGATGACATCTTTATTAGCAGCCCATCATTCAAGGAGCCAAGCGCACATGTTGCTTCTGTCAAAAACATTTTGGAAGGCCATGCTAGCTATTTGATGTCTGGGAAGGAACTATCAAAGCTTGTAGCATTTGTCAAAGGAACGCAGTTTGATTTAGTGGTAGGGAAAAGCTATTTTAAAAACTTTTTGAATGTTCAGGTTGATTCTACATATTGGATTTGCGTTATAATTGTAATGTTTGCAGGAATATCTCCAAAGGGAGAGATATGGAAGTGCTCGTTTGAAGGATTTTGCATCAGGGCTTGAACTAATTGGGGAGAAGGTATTAGAACTTTATGATCCAATTCTGAACTCTCTTTCTGGGTATACAGATTCCGGACACTCTTGTTATCTTTCTAGTATCAAGTGAAATTAGTTGCTCATGGGATGATGAGGGATTCTAATCCCGAGTGACAACTTGATAGGTTACTATATTATATTATAACATTTCATATTTAGAGCTCCTGTTATAATGATGTAATTATTCTTTAATACTTTCATATTTGCATAGTCGACAACCAGCTTTTCTTACTTAATATATTGTTGTACCATTTTGAAGCCATAAATATAGCTAGATTTTGTAATTTTGCTTCCAGCATCATGCAATTTTCCCAAAGGGTGGTACTATGTTCTTACTGTGGAGCTTATCTTTTTTGTCCAGCTTCAAATGGGAACACTTCAAAGTCGGTTGGATGCAGATTTCCTCTTGGCTCATATGTGCTCTGTTAAGTTTAAGGAATGGATTGTTGTTTTAGCCACTCTTCTAAGACGGTCTGAAGTATGCACATTACTCTTGATTACATTTGTGTTTATGTTTGGAAATTTCACCCATTGCATCCTTCATGTTTCACAATAGGGAGAAAGAAAAACTTAGATTAGATTCATTCAATTCGAAAAAGTTTTATGCAAACCTAAGGTATTTACAAAAGAAATTAAGGGATGTATTTCCTTCAACCTGTTAACATACTGCACTTTGAAATAAAAGAACTTTCTGCATTTTTATGTAACAGTCATAAAAGATCATTTTATCACGTGTATCTATCTGAAAGAGAACTATCTGAAGCATTTTCTTTTCCAATAAAATGAGTAGAGCACAAAAGCCAACACACATCTCAAGATCTTTCGTCTCAACTTGCCAATATCAGTGACACTCATCAAATTTGATTTTTTGTTCAATTTTTTATTTTTACAGGTTCTGTCTGATCTATTTAGGCATGATCTGCGGTTGTGGGAAGCATATAAGAGCACCCTACAGGTAAAGTTTGTGCTGAACTTTTCAGAGTACTTGTAATCTTCCATGTTAATCAAAGTTAATTAAAAGACGAGAATCGAATGCCTGTTCTGATAATGTTTTGTTTCGTATCCTCGTAGTCATCCTTTGCCGAGTATCATGATCTGCTTGAAGACTTGAACGAGAAACTTCTATCAACGGAAAACTTGGATGAGAAATAGTGTCTGGACTAGCTTCTAACCATTGTTCATCTTCATCTACCGTCTGTTGCCAAATGACATGGTCATTCATTTCCATGTCCAATGGGATTATCTCACTGGTTTTTGGTGACAGATTGCAGATATATCAAAGTAACATTTGATCGAGCATCGACATGTTAACATCGAGCACGGGGAAGTTGTAGTGATTGCCCTTTTCGACACAAGCATCAAATAGTTATGGGTAGAGTTTCAATAAAATGTTCGTGATTATTCTTAACAGCCTTGCAGGTTGGGGAGGTTACAAGTCTCTCAGCCAAGCAGTTATCTTTCTTCACCTTATAATCGTAATTCAATGTTGTGTATATGGTCATCTCCCCCTTTGTGAAGAGTTCTATTGGGTGAGGGTGGTTCAGTAATATTAGGAAGGCTATCTGTAAAGTTGCTGCAAATGTTCACATTGTAGCAGTATTATTTCTCTACAGTAATTCCTTATTTAAATTAAAATTTTAATCAAACTTGTTGCATTAGTTAAGTGCTTTAGTCTTGTACTAAATATGGATAGAATGTTAAATATATTTGCAGTGGCTTAGCAATGTCAAATGGAGAGCCCTTTAGAAGATGGTGTTTTGAACAACTAATTGAAGAGATTGCATCCTCATTTGTTTGAGGGTTATAGATCTGTTTCTCTTGAACACTAAACCTAGTAATGGTTTATAATATGATTCTTAACTAAAAAATGTTTGAATTCTTTTGATTCATAAATAAAAAACAAGTTTTTGTCGCGATTCTTTTTTCTTTTAAGTTTTCAAAACTTCGACTTGAATTTTGAAAATATTGTTTGAAAGTGGATAACAAAACAAACAAATTTGCAAGTGGTGGTGTATTATATTAGTCTAGGTTCACCGCTAGTAGTGGTGTAATAGCTAGCAAATGTTCTTTTTGGGCTTTCCTTGGTGTAATAGCTAGCAAATATTCTCTTTAGGCTTTCCTTGGTATAATTGCTAGCAGATGTTCTCTCCTTCAAGGTTTTAAAACATGCGAGACTAACGGCTATACGTAATGCCTTCAAAGTTTTAAATGTGTGAGGCTGTTACAAATAGTATCATAGTCAGGTGGCGTTGGCTATTACAAGGGTGTGAAAATCTCTCTCTAACAGACGTATTTTAAAATCGTGAGGCTGAATGTGACACGTAACGTCCCAAAACATACATTATACCAGTGGTGGGCTATGTTACAAGTGGAGTGGTTTTTATTATCAAATAGAAGTATATGTTATTAATGGAGTAGTGGATATGTTACATGTTCGATTGCTTTAGGAATAGGCCCCAAATATATTTGTAGTGTCTACATTAGGAATTGTTGTAAAAACATAGTATAAAACTGAGTTCATGAATGCAATTGAGGGTGCTTTGACTAAAGATAGATCAACATGAAGAGAGATCTAAGAAAATGAAGCATTTAAAGCAGCTGTTCCACACCATAAATTTATTAATACACTGATATATAAGTATACATAAATATGACATTTCCTTGAGATTGTTCTCTCAATAACTTCCAAAATATCATTACAGATTTCAACAAACAAACCCTAAAAGAAACAAACTTAACATTCAAAACAAACTTTGTTACAGATTTCTGTTCTACTTTACTACTGGTTTTCAGATACAACAATTCCACCAACTTATACATATTTATGTATCCTCAAATATAGAACATGTGTTTTTAACTAGTGATTGTCTACTCCCATGCTAGATTTATCTCTCCAACTATCCACCACTGGAAGTTTCGACCACGAGAAAGACTCGTCCCTCCCGATCACCTTCCGACGTAACATCAGCGACACGCTTACGATCAAGCACCAAATCACTACATATGGAACTAAATTAACGCTGTATCCTCGACATCCCTTCAAAATCATCTCTGCAGATAGGCTACCATCAAAGCTACCCAAAGAGTTATTCAATTTCATGATCTCAATTCCATTTAGTAGACCATCTACAGCATATGGGACACTCTGATTAGAGCTTCCAATACCAATTCTAAGAACTCCTTCTTGACCACCATTGACCATGAAATCAACATAGAATGGAGAAGAAAGTTCCCAATTAGTAGCGCTCGAGAGATCGAAATTCTCATACGCCATGTACCCATTAACATAGATATTGAAAAACAGAAAACCAATTGATATACTTGCAATATCACAAAAATGCAAGCGAACAATGTAATTGTATCCATCAATTACAGGGAATGTCCATGTCATGTTCATATTTGGAACCGAAGAATTTGTACTTTGGATCACTCTGGCGGAGTTGTAAACATTGTCAGGACCAACTTCACGACTAGCGCCACCTGCTTGATACTTCATTCTTCCAGTAGAATACACTTTCTTTGATCCCCAAATGGATTCAAAGTGTTCATCATCAGGAAGCCAAGTCCTCCAGAAAGAATCATTAAACGGGGTCACTTTAGGGCCCCCAACATTGACCCTGTACAAAACTTCAAGTCCTTCCTTGGACAATCCATCAACAACTCCACTATGTTCATAACTCAAGTATTTTGCAGTATCAGCAACAAGATCTTTAGGTGCAGAAATAACTTCAATCGCATTAACAAAAGCCAAATTTGATTTCTTAACAGGGACAAAGGTAATTTCAAGGGTTTCAGTTCCAATCCAGATAAGGAACTCCTTAATTCTAGGGTTTACAGCAGAGACCCCACTAAAATTACTCAAAATCACATACCCATTAACCAGAACGTGGAATTGAGCACGAATCAAATCCAAATTTGAAGAACTAAAAGTTTGAAAATGGAGACGTACCATATGCGTCCCTTTATCTCTGATCTGAAACTCGTACTTGGACGGTGCCTCGAAAACGCGAGCCGAGCTGTAAATCGGGGGCAAACCCTCGAAGGGGTGTTCATTTCTGAGGGAGAAAGAGTGAGGAGCGGAGAGAAAGGGAGAGTTTGAAGGGGATGAATCGGAGAGGAAGATGCGATGATCGACGGTGGACTTTAGGGTTGACCCACAGTCGACGAGGTAATGATCGACCGGAGAGAAATGAGAATAGGAAAGAATTGGAACGGCGGAGGAAGAGAGTAAAAGAGCAAAGAGAATTAGCCTAAGAAACTCCATTGGAAGAGAATTCAGAAGAAATTGACGAAGAAGCAGAAGAAGAAGAAGAAGAGTAGGAGATTCGTGATTAAGAAAACCGCGTTTGATAGGGTCCAAATGGAACCATCACTTATGATACAGCTAAGATTTGAAGACGAATTCCACTTGTTCCATTCTTTACAATACTTTCAAATTATAAATAATTACTCCCTATTTACACGTTTTTGTGAATAATTCAAAGTAGAAAAATGGTTAAAATGTTAAATGAAAGGTCGGGATTAGCACCATCACATTCTGTCAGGACTCACAATTACGCTAATTATTCTCACCCTCGAGAATCAGCCCACTAGAACTTGGGTCATCTAGTCTCATTCCTCATCAAATATGTTAGAAAACGGTGATAAAGAAAATGTGAGAAAGTGTTTGGAAATCGTTGATAGCATATAACCTGAGTAGAAAGAATTAACAGCTAGACACGTCTCCTATAGTTTATGTGATATTTTAGCTTTCACAGGTGGACATGATTTTAGACAAAAACGAGCCTAAACTATAACTAAAACTCATAAACACAATTAAAACTTCCTAAACTTATTTCAAGTTAAGAAACTGAGTTCATAACTTCGTTCACAAAGTGGCAAACAACAAGATAGTTTCATTAATCTCTTTTACACCCCAAACCAATGCAACACAGAAGAAGAAAACTGGGAAAAGAATGAACAGATAAGATTGTCCAATATTTTCTTCAACAAATTGGTATGATCTTCATCAAGCGGGATCCGGGTTGAACTTCACGGATTCTCTCCATACAAGTTCCTTGATGTTTTCTTCGGTAAATGACGGTTGCTCGAAATCAAAACTGAAAAGCCTCGGACATACTGGCTCCTCATTGATATCGTGAAGAGGTGCCAAGTATGGATGGCTCAACGCCTCATCAACTGCAAAGCATCAAGGTTCGATATGACCATCCACGCAAAGAAAAGGAAACGAAAATCTATATGTAGTTTTGTTGTGACTATTATTAATTCTCATAATAATGGACACCCTCGATCTAGATGAACACAAAAAAACAGGAGAGAGAAAATGCAAGTAGAAATATTGGCTAAAGGTTTTGTATTGATTAGTATGTACAGTAAGAGAGGATATGTACAGTCAGAGAGAATACAGAAAATACATAAACTACATTTTCAAAGCTCCGCCTAAGTGGTTATATATATGGTTCGGTTTGATATCATAGCTGTATCAGATATAACATCTACTATATATAACCATCTACAATATATTTACCGATAGTTTTTTACTCTACATATATGACAATTTAGTTTATGTCATTTACCATATATAACTTTATTATGTATAACCGTTGACTAAGCTATAAATAAACCTTATAATCGTTGACTAAGCTATAAATAAGCAGCAGGCTCCTTAATCTAACAATTCTGTTATCTAAATGTATATATCCTAAACGAGTCTGACACATGAAAAACTTTATCATGCTAATAGAAAAGAGATCAGAATCTTTGAAAATGTCTGAACAAAGGTCTACTTAGTACATCCACATAGCTAGAAGAGTTGGTTAGTTTTATTCGTCATCGAGTCGAATTGTACCTGTAATGCGTTTAGTAGGATCAAAGACGAGCATCTTCTCCAGCAAGTCGATAGCAGCAGGAGACATTGTAGGAAATTTAGTGGAGAACGGTTGCCTCGGGAAGTGAGGAATATTTTTAAAATATTTTTGTGGATTGTCACTTCGTAAGAACCCGAGGCTCGAGTCGTCAGGTGACCCAATGAGCTTCACAAACCAAAAGGAAAAGAGTGTAAGGTTAGATTAGAGTCGTTCTCAAAATCGAAATCACACCATGGTGATTGAACAATCATAAAGAACAGAGAGATACTCATTTGAAAAAGTAAAACTGAAAGGTGACTAATCAGGACTATCAATTCAAGTCAATGTCGAAGATTCAACTTAGCAACTAGGTTGCAGTTGCTTCCAAATCATGACTATTTCTTCAGGTCCAATCGTTTTGTAACGGCCCAAGTCCACCGCTAGCAGATATTGTCCTCTTTCGGCTTTTCCTTTCGAGCTTCCGCTCAAAGTTTTTAAAACACGTCTACTAGGGAGAGGTTTTCATACCCTTATAAAGAATTTTTTGTTCCCCTCTTCAACCGATGTGGGATCTCATAATCCACTCCCCTCCAGAGCCCAACATCCTCGCTGGCACACCGTCTAGTGTCCACCCCCTTTGAGATTCAGCTTACTCGTTGGCACATCACTAGGTGGTCTGGTATTGATGCCATTTGTAACGGCCCAAGCCTACCACTAACAGATATTTTCCTCTTTGGACTTTTCCTCAAAGTTTTTAAAACGTTTCTACTAGGGAGAGATTTTCACACCCTTATAAAGAATGCTTTGTTCCCTCTCCAACTTGTGTGAGATCTCACATTTGGTACCCAATGTTCGGAGAAGAGAAAAAACTAGGAAGCTAAGGCAGATTATGATAACTAACAAGTGTACCTCAGTAATAAGTTTTAGCTGATGGACATAATCTTTTCCAGGAAACAGTGGTTTTCTGTGCATAATTTCACCAAGTATACAGCCAACAGACCAAATATCTATTGCTCCAGTGTATTCCGAACAATTAAGAAGCAATTCCGGTGCACGGTACCACCGAGTAACAACGTACTCAGTCATAAAATCAGTCTCAGAAGTTGTCCTTGCAAGCCCAAAGTCCCCAAGTTTTAGGTCACAATTTGCATTGAGGAACAAATTGCTTGGTTTCAGATCACGATGTAGAACATTAGCGGAATGTACGTATTTTAGGCCTCGTAACAACTGGTACAGAAAGAACTGCACATCGAAAAGTTGAAGTATTAATAAGATAAAATCTAATATAGTGTTTCTTCTTAGTCAAGAACACTATCATGTCCCACCTACGTAATTCAAACGTTTTCTTAGGAAAGATGAAAACCATGGTAAACATGTTGCGCAAAAACATGCACAATTTTCATAAACTAAATGATTATTAAACGGGATCTAAGTCGTTGAAATTCATAAAGACTCCAATGCCTAGAAACGTTCATGGTATTGTAATTCTGAGGATAGAAGAGGTGCGAACCCGACAATGGTCATCAGTCAACAATTGGTTGGACCGTATTATCTGATTTAGATCAGTATCCATCAGTTCATAAACAAGGTACACATCGTTGAAATTCTCCTTCTGAGGAGGTCTTATAATATCTTTAAGAGCAATAATCTGCAGTTGAGAAAGAAAAAGAAAACAAGTCAGCCCACATGGTCAAATAGTTGCAGCAAAGATATGAACTAAAAAGTGATAAGACGATAGTTGTGAGATCCCATATCGGTTGGAGAGGAGAACGAAACACCCTTAGGGTGTGGAAACCTCTCCCTAGTAGACGCGTTTTAAAATCCTTGAGGGGAAGCCCGAAAGGGAAAGCTCTAAGAGGACAATATCTGCTAGCAGTGGACTTAAGCCGTTACAAATGGTATCAAAGCTAGACATCGGACAATGTACCAGCGAGAAGGCTGAACTCCGAAAGGGGGTGGACATGAGGCAGTGTGCCAGCAAGGACGCTGGACCACGAAGGGGGTGGATTTGGGGGGTCCCACATCGATTGGAGAAGGGAACGAGTGCCAGCGAGAACGAAACACCCTTTATAAGGGTGTGGAAACCTTTCCCTACTAGATGCGTTTTAAAAACCTTGAAGGGAAGCTCGAAGAAGACAATTTCTGCTAGCGGTGGACTTGAGCCATTACAATGATATAAGGTAAAACTCACCGAAAATGTTCGATGTATTCTATCAAGTGATCGTGATCGACTAATAAATTCTCTGAAAATCATAGCGAGAACATGAAAGATCCTTCTTCAATCCTTTGTTACATCTCTTTGAATAATGAATTTAAGATCAAGAAAATAACAAAACTCATAGATACTAAGAACTTACATTTTCATGATCCATGTGACGAAGAAGCTTGATTTCCCGCAAGGTTCTTTTAGCATCAATCCTATTGTCAAATGCATTGCCAACCTTCTTAATAGCAACCTCCTCATTTGTTTCTGAATTAGTAGCAGCACTGAAGGGTACAAACAAGTAATGTCTTGCTTTAATTGTTCATATTACTTTTGTACAAAAACAATATGAACAAAGAAAAAAAGCTATGTCACAAGAATTTAAAGAACCTCAAAAAACAATATCATGTTCAAAAAACTAATCCAAAAATGATCAGAACCCTATAAAATTCATGTTCTATAGGAATTCCAATGCTTGTATGCAGCAAGAATCTAGCAAGTTCCACACCAAAGAGATCTAAACTTACTCAAAAAGTTCCAAATGACAATCTCTATCACACCATAACTCCTTACCAAATGCCAAAATTAAAAGTTTAAAGACTTATAAACTTGTAATTGAATAGAAAGAAGACCCCAAACGATGGGTTTAACCTTCCTATATGAGAACTTTCATTACCACCATTATACTTTCAGGAATTACAGATCTCCACAATAGTATGATATTGTCCTCTTTGAGCATAAACTCTCATAGCTTTGTTTTGAGCTTCCCTAGAAGGCCTCATACTAATGGAGATGTATTCTTTGCTTATAAACTCATGACCATTCCCTAAATTAGCCAATGTGGGACTCCCTCCCAACAATCCTCAACAATCCTCCCCTCGAACAAAGTACACTATAGATCCTCCCTTGAGACCTATGAAGTTCTCGAACAGTCTCCCCTTAATCGAGGCTCGACTCCTTCTCTAGAGTTCTCGAACAAAGTACACCTTTTGTTTGACACTTGAGTCAACACAATGAAAAATGGAGCGAATGTAGCCTATCACATCTCCCTTCCAAAAGAATCTAAATCACTACCCAACATAATGAAATCGAAAAACTAAGCAATCGGAAGTAAATCATAACTCAGAACAGTCTCAGAATCAGTGCATCGTAGTAAGATCGAGAACACATAAGCCTATATGAACTGAGGAAATCAACACGAAGTTTATACATCTAAATCAAGAATTCTTATTCAAGTTAGACTCAAAGTAGCACAAGTCAAACCCATAATTTGAATGAAGAACAAATAAGAACAAGCAAAAGGAATCAAGTAGAGAAGCTTCATACCAGACAATACCATAAGCTCCTCTACCAACAGGCTTTATGGGTGGAATATACTTCCTAGAAACTTCAAAGAGATTCCCATACAAATTGTATTGAATGTATCGACCGCCATGGGTGGGCACTCCCCTGATGTTCTGATCAAAAGAACCGGACTCCATTGACACTCCGGAGGTCCAAAGGAGGAAGTGATGATATCAAAATTGACAAGAAACCCAAATCGAAAATTCGAAAACGAAGATTACCCACTTGAGATTGAGGCTAAAACTGAACTGGGATTTTGAGAGATGGACGAATTTGAAGATGGGTGTGTTGGAATCTGCAGGGAAAGCGAGCTGAGCAGTTCCCAGAATGATCTGTGGGCAGAGGAGAATTAGGAGAAGTTGAGAGGAAAACGCACTTCCATTAGGACGATTTGGAGAAGACTGGGCGGCCCGCGTGCGTATGCTCTTCCTAGTTCACATTTTCATGGACGACTGATCAACTTTTATTTTTTATTAATTTGAAAAAAAAGTTGATTCTTTTGTTTCATTGATGACTCTAATCAAAAGTTTGTTTGACCTTACGTTTCTTTTCTATAAATAATCTTTTATACATTAAAAAGTTTTCTATAAATAATTCCCAGTAATGTATATTAATTTCTTTTTATGGTTATTTGTTTAAATATTTATATTTGAAACTCAAATCTATCGTATCTTATTTTAAGATCTTAAAAGGATTAAGCAGCCAACTCATAAAAATAAAAAGTAACCTAACATAAAAGAAGTCGGAGTATCACATAACATAATAATGTCATAATTGTCATAAAATATGGGGTCATAGAGTATCTGTCATTCATACTTCATTTAGTTCATTCATCATAATACTAGAGTCCATTATCTAATTGACCTAGGTCGGAGTTATTAACTAGCGTGAATAAGCTCCTTTAAACTCCAATTAATCTTATATGTAAAACCCACCATATGAGTTAGGGTAAACCAAACGATTTATTTATGTGGACGTACTGCCCTCAAACGCTTTTGAAAACATCATAAACGGCTCCGTGACAATCCAAGATGATTGGAAAGAGTTCGAGAGGTATCAAATCAAGCTACCTAAGCTATGGAAATGGTTACGGCCCACTTTTGGTCAATGATTTTTTTTACCTTTTTAATTTCTTAGAACATATAAATAATTTTTCTTATTTAATTTTTAATTTAAAAATATGATTTTTATATTTATCTTCTAAACTAAAATATAAATTTCACTATTATCTAAACAATTGCAACAAAAATTCTTGTATAAAATTTTATTGGATTGGTCGCTTTTAAATAAAATAGTTATTTTATTTAATAAATGTTATTTTATGTATAATCAGTTCATAAAAGGGTTGAAAAATGATAATAAATTGAAATAGAGGTATTTTATGATAGAAGAAAGTGAAATAAATAAATTATATTTAATTTTTAAAAATATAACATGTATAATTAATTTTTTAATTCGATTACCATACAACTTATTTACAATTATATTAAAATAATTTATTTGAAATAATTATTAATATTCACAGTTATTTATTCTCTTAGCTTATTTTATTTTGAATAAATTCATTAATGAATTGATATTAATTTACAAAAGTATTATAATTTAATTATTTAATTATTTAATTATAATAAATCAATAATAATTTATTTAAATAGATATTTAGTTATTTTCATAAAAAAAAAATTATTTATTTTCACCATTATTAATTATCGAAAAATGAGTGATGTAATAAAATTGTTGAGAGTATTTGTTTATCTATAATTTTGATAACATTTTCATATAACATCGAACATGTTATCTAACTTTTAGGCCTCGTACTTTTAAATATAATATTTTTTTAAGTATCATAAACAAAACTTTCAGTTAAACACCGTCTAAAACGAAAAACTTGAAAACCCATAAGATCAAAAAAAAATCGGGACTCAACCCACACCACCAAAGTTCTATGTCACAATGTGCTAGTATTTTTCATACATGTACTTCTTTATTTTTCTCTTGTTATGGCGTTGCTATGATTATGGTGTGTCATGAGATACTATAACAGACTATTTATAATGAACATGTATGAAGTATTTATGAACATGTAAGAAATACTATGTGCTACATTATATTGTACCATGATTTTAAAGGTTGAACATCATGCATGTTGTATGTTATGAGCATAGATTACTTCTCCAATATATTACACACGGGTGTATATACCATGATATATTATACGCAATCTTTTTTTTTTTTTTTTTTTTAGTTTTCAAC